TCTGTAAATCTTCACCCAAATCCTAATAAAAAAAAAAGAAAAGAAAAAAAAAGATGTAACCCATGGCAACATGGATGCTATTTGGATTTTAATTCAAGGAAACAAATTGCAAAAAAAAAGTGTGATTTTGTTAGGTGCAGTAGAGTCATCTCGACTCATAGCAACCCTATGTATAGCAAAATGAAAACACTGCCTGGTCCTGTGCCAGCTCCACAATACTTGCTCTACCTGAGCCATTGTTGTAGCTACTGTGTCGATCCATCTCGTTGAAGGCCTTCCCCTTTTTCCTTCACCCTCCACTTTACCAAGCATGATATCCTTTTCCAGGGAATGGTCCCTTCTTACAACATGATCAAAGTAGGTGAAACAAAGTCTGGCCATTCTCACTTCCAAGTAGCATTCCAGATGCACTTCTTCCAGGACAGATGTTTATAAGAACTGGAAATTTGGACGCTGGATAGTTGATGAAATTAAGGTATCATTTAGTATTATCATTTAAGAAGTTCTTATCTTTTAGCGAGTCATACTGAAATATTTACCAATGAAATGGAACAATATCTGGAATTTTCATCAAATTAATACCGGATGAGGGGAAATGGGTAAGGATGTAGATGAATCATGCCTGGACAAGAGTTGATAATTGTTGAAACTGAATGGTTATTTATTATACTATGTTTACTTTTCTATGTGGTAGTGTAGTGGGTAAGACATTTGGCTGCTAACCAGAAGGTCAGCAGTTCAAACACAGCTGCTCTTTGGGAGGAAGATGAGGGACTCTACTTCCATGAAGATTTATGGCCTTGGAAACCCAATGGGGGTTGCTATGAGTCAGAATTGACCTGATAGCATTGGGTTTATAATAAAATGTAAAGCAACAAACTGAAAAACTGGCTAAATGAACCTTGTCAGAGCAAGGAATCCATAAACATATTTCCCTAGTACAGTCTCCAGCAAGCTATTGCTGAAGGACACATCTCATTCTTCCCCCAGCCACTCCCACCATCACTACCACCATTTTGAGAAGCATTAGTGGTTCAGTGGTTGAATTCTCATCTATGCAGTAGACCTGGATTTGATTCCTGGGCAATGCACTTCATGCACAGCCACCATTCACCTGTCAGTGGAGACTTGCTTGTTGCTGTGATGTTGAATAGGGTTTTTGTGGAATTTTGAGACTAAGATGGACTAGGAAGAAAGACCTATTGATCTACTTCTGAAATTCAGCCAATGAAAACCCTATGGATCACGATGGTCCAATCCACAATCTATCATGGGGATGACACAGGACTGGCAGTGTTTTATTCCATTGCACATGGAGTCAGTATGAGTTGGGGGCCAACTCGACAGCAGCTCACAACAAGAAGAGTTCCAGTGACCAGTATGAGGAGAAGGTGGGAGATTCTGATTTCCCCAAGGTCCAGTTTTACAGCCTCACTTGCATTTACATTTAGGAGCTCTGGTAGCATAGTGTCTAAGGCATTTGACTGCTAACCAGAAGGCTGGCAATTTAAACCCACCAGCCACTCCTCAGAAGGAAGATTGGGCAATCTATTCCCGAAGCAATACTGCCTCAGAAACCCAAGGAGGACTCGCTATGAGTTGGATCTGACTTGATGGCAGTGAGTTTGTTTTGTTTTGGTTTTTTTTTTTTTGGTTTTGCTTTTACATTTGATTCTGGCACAGGACTTCTGTTTAACAAGGCCAATTTGTTTTTAGAGTTTGTGTACTTATTTGGCTCTGAAAATCAGGAGATGTGTTAGGATCAGTGTCTTTCTAGGATTTATTAAGTCAATAAGAACTTGAAAGTTGTAGAATATTTGTCCCAAGTATGATTGGAAAGAACTCTGAATTTGAGTCAGAAGCCTACGATGGTGATTTTAACTTCACCATCTCCTAGGTGAATAATGTTGACTTGTTACTTGTCCTTCTGGACTTTCAAGCTTCCCCACCTGCAAAAGGAATACGGTGCTAGCCATTCCTACAGCAGAGGAGGGGCCTATCCCATTTATCTTAATTATTATTATTTTTTAACTGTGCCGAAGCATCTAAAACAACAGTGAGGATAGACCCCTTTACTGTTATGAAAGGTAAAATTCATCAAAATAAAAGATGATAAAAGAGCTAAGTAAACGACTTCATGAGGGCTTCCCTTTTTGATCCTCTTGAGGGTCCAGCACAATGCTTTGTATACTTCCAGACGAAGACAGACTTGGGAAGGGGTCATCCAATGAAAACCTTATGAATAGCTTTGTATACAGTTGTTGTTAATTGCCACGCAGTTGATTCTGACTCAGGGATACCCCATGTATGCAGAAGAGAACTGATCCATAGGTTTTCATGTGATCCTTCAGAAGCATATCTCCAGGCTTTTCTTTCATAGTGCCTTTGGGTGGGTTTGAACTGCCAACCTTTCTGCTAATAGTCAAGTGCTTAACCATTTGTGCCACCTAGGGACCTCTTGAATATAGTAGGCCTTGAATAACTGCTTGTTCAATGAGGACAC